TATGGGCGTTTTTTACAATTACATATAACGGAAGCAACTTTTCATGTCCTAAGATAACCTTTCATTTAATCATGAATTGACATAACTTCTGTCCAGAAATTGTTTTTAAAACAGATGAATGATATATTGTATTGCTCTTTAAGGACTTAAATTATGTTAACGAAAGGTGGTTGCAAATTTACAAATTTCAATTAAAATGTCACAGCAACACGAAGTTTATTAGATGAGTCACTCTTATTTTATATAAATGTCAGCTTGTGACGTCTATATTCACTATTAAATCGCAACATATGTATATTATAATAGTTTAGAAAAATATGAAATAATTAATGGAATTAAACTTTGCTTAACAAAATCAACTGACGTTTAATTAATTTGGCAAATACCACTCGTTAAAAATCCTCATTGAAATTAGATTAATTTAAATGTAATTTGCTTATTTAGATAGTTATTAAGATTAAAATGTAGTCCAATCACCTTAATTAAAGCTGCTAATAATGCCTTAATGTTTTGCAACTAGTGTTTCAGTGTTTGAATCACAAAAGGAAAGTTCTCTAAATTAATTTTATTCTAATTTTAACCACAAATCATTTAACTCCTTCCCAGGAAAAAAAGATACTGGAAACACTTAACACTATTTAATAACAAGCACTAGGTTTGTCTAATTATTTAAATTTTGCGTTTTCCTTTGAAATATTGAGGAGTAAGTTGTTCAAAAAATAGTAAATATGTTCAAAAAAATCTCTTAATTAAGAATATTTTAATTATTTGTGCATGGCTGACAAAAGAAAATTCTAGTGCCGTACCTCGGTTGATAGTCATGTTTTTAACATCTACAACAAGACAAAATAGCATAACGGAATATTTTTCACATATTAGTAAACATCTCTAGTGTTATAAATGCTGTATTTCCAATAAATGTTAAACTTGTTTTCTTTTACCCATCTTAGTTTACCTCTCAACTTATGCTGTGATTTGATCGACTGAAACTGATATAAAGCAAATTTTAAAATAAACTTTTACTGATGTGTTTAAAAGCTTTCAAACTTATTGGCGTATGTAGGTAATTCGTGACTCAAACTAACATTAGTATGTTCAGAGTTGGTTTACGCTTTCGTTTACCTGTGTATTGATTTGTTTGTTCCAGAAGTTTTGCGCAAAGCTACACAAAGGGATATTTGTGCACAATCACAACTAATTTGAATAGATAGAAGGAAGACAGCTAGTCAACAGCATAAACCGTCAATACTTGGGCTATTATTGTTTGACAAAATAATGGAAACTGAATGACATTGTTATAATGCACGCATAGCCCAAAACTGTGGAGAGGTTTTTGCTGTAATGAGACGCGAAACCATAAACCCTCGGATTTATGGTTCATGCACACTACGCACTAAATCACATCCGGTCGGACTCTGTACTTATAAATTCATATTTAAAAAAAATTCAAATCAACCAGAAAATTTGAACCATTACTACTATAACCTCCCATCTCCAGCGCTTTTCATCGCATCAAAATTAAATGAATGACTTGATAAAGTATTTGAATTTCTCAAGTTTTCTTACAGTTGGACATTTTTATTCGCAGTGAAGCGATACAAACTCGTGTCTTGTAGCTCTCACGCTGCACAATATGCTATCACTAATGTAAATAAACTTGAAATGCATCGCTATGTTCAATTAAATAGCCTACGAATAACGCTCATTTGCATCCTCGGGTTGTCCATCTCTACAAAGACAAATATCTTAAAAATTCTTTCGAATGAAAAGATCATTATATTTGTGATACTATAATATAAGGTCAGAGTACATGTATAAACGGAAACGTATGCTATTTATTCAATTACGTAAATGATCCAAGGTGTAAAAGTTCCAATAATTACCATTACAAATCATGGGGCTCATCGTCAGATACGGGGTTTCTATAAGAATAAAGTGAATGGAGTAAGTGAAATTATTTTATAACTCTGGTTTCTGCTTTATCATACAAATAACTTGTAAGCTAGAAACCGGGTTTCGATCCCAGTGGTGGTCACAGCACAGATAGCCCAATGTGTAACTTTGTGTTTAATTCCAAACGAACAAATTATTCTTTAAAGGTTCTGTGTAGCCTACTCTAGGAAATGTTATAATAAAAAAGTCTGAACTTAATTATTCCATATGTAAATCACAAATAAATTCTGATTCTAATTAAGCTAAGACTTATTATATATCGAACTAAAAAGAAAAGAAAAGAGTTGTTATATGCTAGAACCAAATATTACGGAACCAAGACTTATTATAAAGTTGACAAAAAACGAAATATTTCTCCTGTCAGGTCTAGAATTAATAAACTTTAAAACTACCACATGACAGATCCGGAGCTTACAGAATGAAAACGTATCAAGTGATTGGACTGAATTTAACAGAAGTAAAGCTTTCCGTATGCCAGTTGTAAAGTTTACAGAACAACTAATGTTTACTTATGGGACATATACATATCAAGATTAAAGTTAACAGAATCAAAATTATTAAGTCAAGACTTTATTTGTTGGAACTAGAAATGAGATATCTGAGATTTGTCAAACATAAAGTCTGTAGCTACAGAACACAGACATTTTGTAAGATGCAAATATAACAATTTAAAGACTAATCTTAAATAAGTTGCGAAGCTGCAAGTGGCGAGTACTGCTACAAGTCAGATGTAAGGCAGAAAAAAGAAAACTTGTCATGTGTGTTTAGTAACAGGAAATAATAACAAGACTTTTCACATGTCAGTCGAAAGTTGACAGAAATACGCTTGTCGCATGTTAGGTCGAAAGTTGGAGGAATGACATGCTACATGTCAGGTCGAAAGGTGGAGGAAACAATATTTGTTACATGTTAGGTCGAGAAGTGACACATCCCTCTCGAGTCAGATAGACAACTTTGATATGAATTTCAATTAAACGATATAAAACGCATAAACATGTATAACATGAACGTTATCACTCTAATACAGGAATCCGACAAGGCAGTGTGGATGTGTTTTTGGAAGGACTAGCTCTAGCAAAAGGAGAGAAAAAGCGATTAGAAAAGAATAAATTCAATATTGATCTTCAAGGTATGTGCGTTTTCTGATTAATAAAACATAAACATTCGTTTGAAACAAGTTTATCTGATCTTATTTTTTATTTCGTTTCAAGTTCCACGAAAATAAGATCGGATAAACTTGTTTCAAACGAATGTTTATGTTTTATTAATCAGAAAATGCACATACCTTGAAGATCAATATTGAATTTGGAATTTTAACGTTCATTTTATTTATTTAAATAAAGTAATGTGAACATGTTTTTAAAGTTTTTTTTCTGTAAACTGAATATCAATGAACACCAAAATTATCTAACTTAAGTTCTTAACATTTGTAATTTACTTATATGATTTAGCCTCGATCACTTCTATTCTAGATTCAAGTATTTTCCAAGTTTTTTATCAGTAGCTTTAGCTTTTATTCATCATCTTAAGAGTTATTGAACTTTATGTGGTTTGATAATTTATACTTATCCACTAATTATCACTTTTCCTAATTTTATCAGCTCACGGTATTTGGCTAATCAACTCGAGTATATTCTTAACATCAATATAGACATATATATATATATATTCTAATTTGCCCAGTCTTTCCCTAACCTCTATTAAAGCTTTTGTTCTCAATTTGCTTATGTAAAAATATATGTCTTTTACTGCTCCTTATACTTGGTCCATTAAACAAATACAATTTTATTACATGTGTTTGTGACGTCAGTGTGCATAAAGGCGTATAGTGCAGGCTTCCAATCAGGTTGTTTGTATGTTTGTTTCTAAGACATGAAACTTATCAAACAAACCAACTGGATCACCTTTTCTTGCTGGTCCTAATCCTTCTCCTTAATTCTCTGCAGCTCTCTTTGTTGCTGTCGAACAGGAGCACGTTGAGCGTGCTCGAAGTATTCTCGAGACAACGGATGTTGACGTCAATAGGTAGGTGGAGCCATGTTTTTTGTTGTTTTTTTTTTGCAGATCAACGTTTTCAACATTTTTACCCACTGAAGAACACTCTCATACTTAAGTTATAATGTCTTCTACAAATCTAAGAAATTAATTATCTATGTGAAATCAATGATGCAAATTAAAGAAAACATAAAACATTTTTTGCTACAGATATAACTTGATTACAAACACTTCTTGCGGCAAAGTCCAAATTAAAGAGTTAAAGAGTAACACCAAGAGTTAATTACGATGCATCTTTGTTTAAATCTGGTTTGTATTGGTATTTTTATACTTGCATACCTTTACGTAAATTCTAGTCTTCGTAAGGGTTTTTCTTTTCTATAAGGTTTCAGCATCCAAAACGATGATGGATTTAATAAAAATTTTATCTCTCACGAAGATTGATTTCAACTTGCATTTAAAAACTTATTTGTACAATACAAATTCCGTATAATTAACGTACACAATCTACTCGATCTTTTTATTTTTTATTTTTTGCATTACATTAAATCTCTAACAACCTTATGATCAGTATGTAATGCGAATAAAGAAACGTTTTATCCAACAAAATAACCCAGTAATCGGACAGCTTAAAATTCGATGGCATTTCTTTAAAGTTTGATTTTAGATCATATTTTATTAATAGCTTATGAGGTAGAATTTATTTAAGCAGTTCAGAATGTTTTTGCTCAGATGATGCTTATAGTAATTACCAGAAATATACAAACACACAAAAAAAGAATATTTGACATCCTAATCCATTGCACTGATTGCTCCATAAATTTTATTTTTATGCGTTATAGCCATGTGACGACAAAAATGCGTTTAATAATAACCTTTAATTTAATTATGTATAGTTTGGATCTCCTTTTCGAGCTTTTAAAACTTCATAGCATTATAAAAAAAAACAAAAAAACATCTGTACTATTAACGTCATATTTAGTCCTTTTACATTAAATACTTGAGATTTGGGTTTTCTTTGCGAGCTTTAGTTATATATTGTTCCTATAATAATTAAATATTTTTTGTTTCTCTTCACCAAAAAATATTTTTGAATGATCATTCAAAATATGGCCACCAAAATTTGAAATGCGAAGAAACCTGGCATTAGTTTATTGTTTTAACCTTTAATTAAACCTGCATTTAATTTTACATGACAGTATCAACGGAGACGGCTTTAACACGCTGGACATTGCAGTGATGACCAACTGCGTTCTAATGGTCAAGATGTTACAGTATCATGGAGGAAAGGAAAGCAAACGATGTGAGCTGTACTTTGTTTTTTATGAGTGTAGAGTATTGATGCGAATAAAGTGGGAACAATAGCATAGTATGGAATTAATTATGACAGTAACAAAGGAACAATCTTTACTAATCAATGAATTAAAACATACTCATTTTATGAGTATTTCATTTATATTAGAAAGTTTAGCTCTTCTAGATGACTTCTCAACTGATTGTTTTAACAGATTTGTGTTCGAATTTAATCATTCCAAACTATTTCTACAGGCTAGTATATTAAAGTTGTATAATTTATATAACACGTTAAACTTAACACAAAATACTTAATTACTTAAGTGTCAGTAAGGTGTGTTGAGAAAATTATTATATTACTTTAAAAATTCCATAGTTATTGTAGACTTATTTGAACAGTAATATTTCCCACACTTAGGTTTTCTTTCTTAGCATACTTCTTCAATTTGTTGTTTCATACTTACATATTCTCTAACTAATGTATCGAACAGAAATTAATGGTTTGATATTATCATGTAGCTTTACAAAGTTAAACCTCATAACAATTTACTTAACCTGCAGCTGACAAGAATTAATATAACACAATGATTTGTAAACTGTTATTTTAATTTTATGATGTATTTTAATATTTGTTTGTTTGGAGTATTTCAAAATAACTTTTTACTTAGTCTCCACTAAGGAGAGTCGAGCCAGCCAACTGATCTCTCTGGTCAATGAAGCTGAACGTTGTGAAGAGGACTTATCTGCTTGCGTCTACAACACAACAATCAGTACCAGCTTATCCGCCGCCTTATTAAAGGTTGGGTTTAGCTCCTTCTATGTTATATAAAGCAAACTTACGTTTCTTAAAACACTTGATATTTAGCAGTTTTTATTTCATGTAGTGATCTGAAAAATGCTGAAATGCGTGTTTGCTGGTGTGGGGGAAACATTAATGTGATAAAAATAGTTCAATCATAAATTTACAAACTCATAAAAGAGTATTATGCTTGATTAAATCTTCGATCGACAAAGTTATTAAAAACTTTTTGACGTTTACGTAACACAGGCTCAACTTTTTAAGAATTGTCATTGTTTTTTTCTAATTAGTCACATATAAAAAACAGTGTCATGAAGGAAAGGAAAGCAAACGATGTGAGCTGTACTTTGTTTTTTATGAGTGTAGAGTATTGATGCGAATAAAGTGGGAACAATAGCATAGCATGGAGTTAATTATGACAGTAACAAAGGAACAATCTTTACTAATTGCAGAACTTGAAATTCACATATGAATATGATACTTGTATAATAAGTTGTTTTACAACTGAAGTGAAAAGTGAACATGCTCCCTATATGCGAATTTATGAAATAGACCCTCGAAACTATTAAAATAAACTTTTCATAAGATACTTTATTTTTGCCTTCTTTTTACCGTGCGTTATATAAATAAATGGATGCCTAGTGAAAGCAGGAAAAGAGGAAAATATTAAGATCTAATTTCATATTATCACGAATATGTTTTGGACGAATATATTTTTCTCTTGCAAAAAACAAATTGTCATTTGAACCTTTCTTTCTCAAGGAAAAAGAACGACAGTTGACCCTATGGCAAAGACGACTTAACCTTCTGAAAAAAATGCAAAATGGTTTTGAACGAATACGTAAGTTTACGTGTTTTAACATTATTATGTGCGCTTCTTTTGATTTCATAAGTACTATTTTTTTCAAGGTGAAAATATTTTAGAGTTTTCGAACTGGTGTATTTAAGTGTTTTACACTCACAAAAAATAAACATATCATTATATAGATATTTGAAGAACTTGTAGCATTTCGCCGTTAAACAAATGTTTAAACAACTCTATTTATTCAAATTTTAGAGTTTTGTATATGTATACATTTTTACTCTAATTTTAAAGAGATTTTATTTGGATTATGTCCAATGTCATTACTTGTATGATTATGATAATGTATTTTAATAAAAATAGAGTTTATAGTAAATGTATTAATTATACACCTTTATAGATTGTTCATAAAATACTTTGAATCTGCAGCTAAAGTACTTTATCATAAAAACTCAAAATGATAGCAAAAAATATTAATAATTAAACCAAAGTACGATAATAGAGTATAAAATTTAAATTAAGTTCATTTATCTATTCATGATTTAGGGCCTCCAGATCCGCCCAAGTACGTGCAATTGAAAGTAGTCGGCCCTAGAGCGCTGTGCATTAATATTTACGAATCTGACTCTGCCAATGATGCCTACTGTATTGTAACTAAATATAAAGGTGAGAATTAACTAATATACAAATGCGGAAATTAAATATTGAATGAAATCTAATTTTACTCATGAATTCTGATGCTAATCTTTTATTAATAGTCTGAAAATACAGATCTTTTATGCTGCTATCGGTATTAGTGTATCTTTTGTTTTTGTTGTCTTACATTAAGCTTAGTATGGCAGAAACTAATTGTATTTAAACTCGTTCTTGGCTGTAAATTCGCGAGATTTTACTCGAGACTTTCGTGATCATTTGATTGAAAACACATTTTATTTGTAATATGGCTTCTCTTTTCG